TAATTGTACGCGTTATCGGTATCCTCCTTCGTGTCATGGATGCGCGAACGGTTATCGGAGAGGATGTACGCGCCCCTGACGACCTTGAGACCCAGGGTGAATCTGTCCTTGCTAGCTTCCGAGAGGTGGTTGATGACGTTGTCCGTGGTGCTTTTGAGATATGCCTGGTACGTGTTGTAGATGGCAGCGTATCCGTCTCCGTTGAACTTGCGCATGAGCTCCAGGGTGACTCGGTCGATGGCCTTCTGGAAGTGCGTGGACTCGGCGTCAACGATGATTCTAATTCCCCGCTGTTTGCATGTTGTGGCGATCTCATCGAGGGCGTCGAGCATCTGTTTCGGGGGGAACTTGTCTTCGGCAAAGGCTTTTGTGACTTCGCGGCCCGCTCCGGTCAACTTGATGGCGAGGATGTCACCCTCACCAACTTGTGCGGCAGTCTCCAAGGTACCGCATCTCCAGGACTCGATTTCAGAATCGACGCCAGCAATACCCGATGCAGCAGCAGTCTTTCCAGTCTCGTGAGCCGACTGAGTCAAGTGGTCGAATACAGTCTCCTTGGCGTAGGTAAGGATGACACCCTTGAAGCCCAAGGCTTTGAGCCGGTCAACGCATGCTTTCGTCTGTTCAGGGGTCTCTCCGGCGCAGAACTGGTCGTAGAATGTCTTCTTGAGGATGGCGTGTAGTACTGGGTTACGATCAACGTCTAGAAGGAAGTTTCCGCTCGACTTGGAGAGGAAGGATAGTGCGTAAAGTGAAGGGATGAGAAGGAAGCGGTTCGATGAGATGGTGGTGATGAGCAACGATCTTAAAAGGGTTCCCGTAGATAAGATGGATAACGGCGCGCCAGGAACGGATTTCCGTGCTGGAGGGCTCTTGAGCTCAATGCTGCTCGTCTCTGGAATAGCAGCGTGTGGCGAGCCTGCTCCGACTGCTTGTCGCGGTTGTGTTGGCTTCCCGTAGCTTCGTCTGCCAGATACGATAAACGCGGGGTTCGCCCAGGGCGTCTTGGCAGATGCCAGCCCCAGCGACACCTTCATGGTATGTCTTGATGTAAATGTGACAGACTTCGTGTACGTCGCAACTTGAGAGAGGATTCGGATGCTTCCGAGTATGAGATGAGCCCGTGATTTGAGCGGTTGAAAGGGGGACGGCTTCTAAATGCTTATTCGGTTTCCCCGCCTCTGGTCGTGATCGGATCCGGTGGTTTCTCCAACGCCTCCTTCTCCAACGCTTCGTTCCGGTCCGATGTACGGACGTGGTGGGCATGGCCATCCTGGTGGCTAAGAGGTCACATGCTGTGGTTTAGATGGGCATGCCAATCGGGATTGTTTGCAATGAGTTCCGTCTTGGAGATATGAGTTGGCGTCTGCGTCTACATAGTACATGTACGCTGTTTCGATGGCTGGAGCTGGCTATCGCTCCTCTCCCCCCCGCACGCATCGCGATGCTAGCCGAACAGGGAGTAAGCTTGGAGGGGGACGTGTGTAGCAACTGTACTCTGGGGGGACGTCTGAGTGAGTGAATGGCTGGCAGCTCCGATAACATGTCACTTGATGCTATGCACACGTGCAGATAAGATAGCTGGGCATCGCGGAGGATCTGGGCGATTACCGAGAGAGGAAAGTGGCTCGACGAGGGTACCGGAGAGGGCTCCGGGAGGGGATCCACTTACCGGACACCCCTCCGATGCGACCCCACCGTCACTTAACACCAGTCCGAGCTTGGAGGTCTCTTATCGGATGGACGTCTGCCATTGTTATCTGGGAGCATGTCGCGATGACGATCGGTGGCCGGGGGGTGTCTTATCTGGGCCCCGGTCGAGTATCGGACCGTGAGGACGTGGCCGCGTATTTCCGGTGACGGAGGACTGATGCGGGACATGAGCTTGGTGGATTGACTCGTGGACTGCTTCAGAGATGTAAATAAGTGATGGTTTTCCCAAGCAGCTTTCTCTGGTGGTAGTTTTCCATGGTTTGCTCAATCAGACAGGTGATGGACGAGGTATACTTGCAACAAGCTATCAGTCCTGTAGACACACGTTCCTACCACCCTCTTGACGGCACGTTCCTTGGCAAAATGTTTCCTTCCCATCTCAACGATTGTGCCATTGATAAGAAGCTCCCAGATACTGCACTTCAACCTGCATGAAGACAAGTGACGTCTCGCCCATGCCTTTTGCCGACCATGAAAGTTGATCTCTAGCCGGCCGCACGCTATCATCAGGGGAAGGACGGGAACCAGACCCCCGGCCACTGAACCAACAGACGCGACATCACCTCTTGTGATAAGAGATCGGCTGAGTTTCTATCAGACGAGCATACGTCCAACATGCATTTCAGGGGCGCGAATGCTGGGATGACAGATAAAGTCGCATTCAGATTGTGCGACGGGCAATAGCTGTACGACGGAGTAAGTTAGCTGATAGAGTCGAATAAAACTGAAGCCGAGCCGCCAAGTTTTCTGGGCAATACTTGTCGTTTCTTAGCAGAATCTTAATTCTTCTTTGACTTTTGGTGAAATTTGCGTCACATCAACATGGCAGTTGACGAAAAGAAGCTGGATGTTGCCGATGAGGCTGTCCAGCCGACTTCCAGTAACGGCGAGGGGGAGCAGAGCTCCTTATCGCAGGATCGTCCCCTATCGCGGGCGTTGAAGGGGCGGCATATGCAGATGATTGCAATCGGTTAGTGAACTCTGGCAAGTCGATGTCATTGATGAAGCTCAACATAGCATTTCATGAATTCCAGGAGGCTCCATTGGTGCTGGCCTCTTCGTCGGAACGGGAGGAGCCTTGAGGACCGGTGGCCCGGCAGCTCTGGTAGGGTGATACCACCTCAATTCTTATGGGTGACGAACTGACATCTTTGATCAGCTCATCGGCTTCATCATCATCGGGTGCATGATGATGTGCACTGTCCAAGCCCTCGGAGAACTAGCCATCATCTACCCCGTCAACGGAGCCTTCTACGAATATGCCGTGCGCTTCATCGATCCGGCCTGGTAAGCTCGCCCTCTGGGGATGACTGCAAGTCTCGATACAGCTGACTGGTGAATAAGGGGCTTTGCAATGGGCTGGGAATACTCCATCGGTTGGATGGTCACCCTACCCTTCGAGATCACCGCCGCCGGCATCACTATAGAATTTTGGAAAAGCAGAGAGGAGGTCAACCCGGGAGTCTGGTGTGCTGTCTTCATGACTCTGCTGATCGTGATTCAAGTCTTTGGTGTTCGAGGATATGGCGAAGGTATGTCCTCAACACTCCCTGCTATGCCGGTAGCCTACGCTAATGACCACTCAAAGTCGAGTTTATCCTCGCCATCGTCAAGATCATAGCCTGCATCGGCTTCATCATCCTCGGCATTATCATCAACACAGGCGGCGTCCCAACCGATCCCCGCGGCTACATCGGAGCTCAGTACTGGCACGACCCAGGCGCCTTCCGGAACGGATTTCAGGGCTTCTGCTCCGTCTTCGTGACTGCCGGTACGCCCATCACGACCCTGCTCCTATATCCTCAGCCCTAACAGTCCATAGCATTCTCCTTTGGCGGCACAGAGATGGTAGGCCTCGCCGCCGCCGAAGCAGCTAACCCCCGCAAGACTCTCCCCAAGGCTTCCCGGCAGGTCTTCTGGCGCATCACCCTCTTCTACATCCTCAACATCTTCATCATGGGCCTCATCGTTCCGTCGGACAGCGATGTCCTCCTCGGCGCAAGCGGAGCCAACACCAAGGCCTCCCCGTTCGTCCTCGCGGTCCAGCTGGCTGGGATCCAGGTCCTACCTCATATCATCAACGGCGGTGCGCCCCTCTCACCCCCCTTCTCCCATCCACCACGTGCTAACACTGCGAATGATAGTCATCACCCTCGCCGTCATCTCCGTCGCAAACTCCTGTACGTACGGCTCCACCCGCGTCCTCCAAGCCCTCGCGCAATCAGGCCGCGCGCCCGCCATCTTCGCACGCGTCGACAAGGACGGCCGCCCCATCTACTGCGTCGCGCTGCAGGTCGCCTTCGGCTTCATCTCCTTCATCACCATCGCCGCCGACGGCAAGACCGTCTTCAGCTGGCTGCTCGCCGTCACGGGCCTCTCCGGCCAGTTCGCGTACGCGAGCATCATGCTGGCGCACATCCGCTTCCGCAAGGCGTGGCGGCTGCAGGGCCGCAGCGTGGACGAGATCCCCTGGCGCTCTGCGCTGGGTGTCGCTGGGAGCTATGTGGGCGTGTTCCTGGTGGTGTGTTCGCTGAGTGCGACGTTTTACTCGGCTTTATATGTGAGTTGCTTGTGATCTTGTGAGATGTTTGGAGGGTTGTGTTGCTGACATATGGATTAGCCGGTTGGCGGAAGCCCGAATGCCGAGTCGTTCTTCCAGAGTTACATGGCGGCGCCGATTACGCTTGCACTGTTTCTCTTCTGGAAGGTGTATACAAGAGACTGGGGCTTTGGAGTTGATCTGCGGAGTGTTGATTTGGACAAGGGCAGGCGGCGGGAGGAGGAGCTGGAGGTTTATGAAGTTGACGAGGTTGAGAAGAAGACTCCGATGTGGAAGCGACTCCTGGGTTTCTTCTTCTGAGGAGGCCATGTTAAGTGGTCACTGTTGCTGTAAACCCTAGTGTGGAAGTTTAGCATCACATGTGGGAGGTAGACTGAGTGTGTTGAATTCTTTCATTGTGTGGTATCAAACGGCTGTAACCAGGCATATTTCGCTGTTCAGGCGTGTAACCTTTGCAAGCGTGCATAAATGCTCCCTTTCCAATCTTCACGGTCTGATAGCTGGTTGCACGTCAATCTCGTGGGACCTTTCTTCAGGTGAACTTAATACCCCGATGCACGAGCATGCCAAAATGCCTGGTAGCCTGGCTAGTATTCACTTCTTAAGTTGACGCCCTCGTCTAATCGCCCTTCAGAAGCTGTCCATCGGGGCAATGAGCGCCTTGGAATGGTGGGTATCAGGCCAACTTTGGGTACGTAGATGGCCTTGCTTGAGCTCTTGGGATCCATCATTTCTTGTGCTTGAGAAGGCAATGGCGGCCCCACTTGCGTTGAAACTTTTCGGGAATGAAGGGCAGGTCTGGAACCCAGAGTGCTCTGGCGAGGAAGTGTGTGTTGGCCGCATCCAGGAACGGAACACATTTCACAACTTCCCAGTGCTCTTCGTCGGCAATGTAGTCGGGCTCGTTCGGCGGCAGGGGGTCGTTTCGCTCGGGGTACTGAGTATCGACCAGGAATCCGCAGGTTCTCTGGTCAACGTACTTGCCCATGTCTTCCTCGTTCCTGTCGTTCATACCCTTCGTAGGCATCCAAGTGCCGCTCCAGAAACCGAAGCCAGTCCGAGCTTCAGCAAACTCTCCAGGAAGCAGTCCACGGAACTCGGAGCGAACGAACTTGGCGTGCATGTCGCGAGGCAGGAAGTAGGATGACGGGAAGCGGTACCACTCTTTGCCGAAGCATACGTTATCACCACGGAGGCCGAGCCCCTGCTGACCGCTGACACCCGCTCCAAGTGGTGAGTAGAGCCTCATCGGGGCAGAATAGGCGGACCAAATGCCGTAGACACGCGAGAGTCCGATGTCGAAGGAAAGCAGAAGCACCAGACTGACGGTGAAAAGCTTGAGCTTGGCAGGAATCTTGCCAACGAGAGTCTTGGGGTCCGAGTTGCCAAGAGCCGCCAGAATGATGTGCAGGGACATGGCAGCATTGAGAGCAAGGAAAGGGTACGCGGGGTACATGAAACGCTCTTCCTTGTGAGGCTGAAGGGTGAAGATGCCAAGCCAGAGGTAGAAAGGCGAGATGAAAACCAGCGCGCGCAAGCCTGTCTGAAAGCCTTGTCCTGAAGGTGAAACCAGCTTCTGCAGGACGAAAAGGGGGAGGCAGACAAGGGCCAAGATGAACCAAATGTTGAAGTTCAGGGCGAGGTTGCGGAAGTAAAAGTCCCAAGGCTCAGTACCGTACAACTCTGGGCCACCGGTCTCTGAGAAGATGTTGTACTTGACAATGTTCCAAGATGCGACCTCGACCTTCTTATAGAAGAAAGTGTTGATGCATCCATCAAAGAACTAGATATGTTAGATACGGTTTACACCACAGATCTCAACAAGAGGCTTACCATAACGATCAAGCCAGCAATCACACCCCTGACGACGCGGATGATAGCCTCAATGAAGCGATCCTTGTCACTCAGCGCAGCGAAGACAGCCTCCTCAATGAGGAAGGGGAAGGAAAGGGCGGCAGCAAAAGGCCACCCTACGACAGCTCCAACAGCAAACCAGAAAATTCCTTGAGCAGTCTTCAGTCCACCGCGCCAGTTCATGAAGGACGAAGCGCCCAGCATGGCCATGTACATGGCAAAGCTGGAGGGCAGATAGGCGGTGCTCGCATGGAAGTTGCCTGCGCTGAAGACCGTGGCCAGGATGAAGAAGAGACCAATGCGCGCATTGAGGGTGAGGCTGATGACACGGAACAGCAGGGTCTGGCATAAGGCGCAGCCGAAGGCCAGAGCATATCGAATGAAGTAAAACTCGCCAACCTAGGTCAGTCAGTACGAGTCCAATAGGCCTGATATCGTGGACGACGCATTGGACTTGCCTTGGTAGACTGGGGCAGCAGACGGCGGATGTTGCCGACAATGGCATGCAGACTAACGTAGAGCCAGCTGCGAATGGCATATGTGGGGGAATATTCCCATGTCTGGAGGCCGTAGCCGTGGGAGAGGTAGTGGGTAGGCTCATAGTAGTTGAATGTCTCGTCGCAGTCTTGGATCGGGGCGAAGAGGGCGGAGATTATGTTGGCAGCCAGGAAGCAATAAAAGGCTGAGATGGGCTCGATGGCGAAAGGGCTGGGCGGCCTATCGCGAGGGTCCTGTTAGTGGGCGTCGCAGGAGTGGCTGCGCAGCAGCTAGGAATTGAATTGGACGGCTTACTTCTTTCTGGCATGGCCGGCCTCGGGGTGGACGAACTCCCTCTGCGGAGGAGCAGCTTTTGGCGGCATCGTGGCGGGTTGTCACGGGCGGAGTGGGCGAAACAACACGGGCCGTCGAGACGATCAGTTGTGGTGATGCCACGGAGCTCCAAATCTCAACAATTCAGATTTCGGGAAGCTGTGACGCCACAGCTTCTCAATTGACAGGGGTCTAGACGGACAGTCCAGATCTGATGAGCCTTACTGTACTGAGATGCGGAAGAAGTTGTGATGTGCACAGTGTTAGCAGCAAGCTGACGGCGGAGAATTTGGATTGGCCAAAGCTGGTGGATCGGAGCTGCAGCTGGCGCACAGACCAAGGGTGTGATGATGACGAAAGGAAACAAGCCGAAGATTGTGGCTTGACACCAACAGGGAAGTCCGGATTTAGCGTCAGGTGGTGATGAAAGAGCGTCTCGCAGATGCGCGCCCAATGAGTCCAGAGCAGGGCAGAGGCACCATTTGCCTGGGCTACTTAGCATTTAGCACCTGGCACCGTGGACGATTACCTAGTTGCTGCATCAGCGCATCAGGCCATCCGCACTGGTTAGCGGCTGGTGTTTTGCTGATACTGGGCTGCAGCCAGAGAGCACGGATTCTATTCCGTCGTCTCATGTCTCCCTTTACCTGAAGGTGCTGGGCTCAGATGTTTCCGCCTCGTCGGTGTCAAGGTGAGCAGAAATGATGGAAAGTAAACAAAAATAAAAGGACCAGAGTGCTCATCTTTCCATGCGCAAAAAATGACATGTGAGAGCTGTGGCATTGATGATTCGCAGGTGACACTTCTCGCAGCAAAGAGCCCTGTCCAAGGCCGTCATAAAATTTGGAGCCCTTCACTTCTCAGCGAGGGAACAGGCCGCAGATCTGCCGCTGAAGTGCCCGGGACCCTGGACTGGAGTTCAGCTGGGTTGGTCGTCGTACCGCTGTCTTGCTTTGCCGGGGTCACTGTAACCTTTCCTCCCTCCCGCCGCCATTGACCCCTCCCTCTCAATTCCGTGTCCATTCTGCGCGCTCCCGGCCACTCCAGAGTCCAGCGAAAAAAAAGGGCAGCAGCTGGCCTGACTGGGTGTACACCTCGCAGGGGGGTGTAAAAAGCAGGTAGGGAGCTATAGTAGTGCTAGAAGAATAGATCTTCTAAGCTATATAAGTATAACTTTCCCCTTATAGTCCACTTTACTATATCTAAACTATCCCTAAACTATACTTATATCTAAATAAAATAAAAGCTATATTATAGTAGAATATAATTATAATAGATATTAATAATAGAGTTATATTATCCTTAATATATACTATATATATATTATAATTAATAGTTTATAAGAAAATACTTATTACTCTTTTTCTTCTATATAATAGAGATATACTATATATATATAGAACTTATTCCTAAAGTATATTATTCTTAAGCTAAATATTATTAATATTTTAATTTTATTCTTTTAAAGAATTTATATATAATAAACTCTCTTTTAACTTTAATTAACCTTATTAGCCTTTTAGCTATATTTATAAATAATAATCTATTTTTTAACTTTAATATTTTTTCTATTTTAGATAATATTAAATAATAAGAAGAAAAATAGAGATAACTTAAAGAGAATAATCTTATTATAAGCTTAACTTATTATATTACTTATTAGCTTAATACTTAAACTTACTAATATAATAATTTATTTAAAAATAATATATAGGATAAAAGAGGTATATTTTATAAAATAAGCTTAACTAAAGTAAGCTTCTTTTTAATTTATATTACTTATATATTTTATATATATTAAGTATATATATAGGATATAATTAAAACTTAAAGTATTTTTATTACTTAAAGTAGAAGTTACTAAGTTACTATATATATTATATATAACTATCTTATTACTTTAGTATATTTTAAGACTTATTTTAATAAAGTTTTTTATTATATTTCCTATAAAGTCTAAAATAGAAACTTTTTATATTCCTATATATAGAAGCTTATTTTAGATATTATTTAAACTATTTAGTATTTAAACTATAAGAACTTTAAAATTATAAAGAGTTTATACTTAATTTTAAAGTAGGTTTAGCCTCTATATATACTAAGTATATATTAATACTATTTTAAACTTAAAAAAGATATAAATTAAGTTTAGTATTAGTTTTATTAATATAATAGTATTAAGTATTATAAGTTTATATACTTTTTAGTTATAACTCTAAATATAGTATAGAATAAAGGGGATTTTATTAAAATATTATAAAAACTATATATTATAAAAGGTGCTTATAAAGCTCCTAAATTAATTATAGATAAGTTAATTAAATATATATAAGAGTTAGTATTTAGCCTCTATATATACTATATATATACTTATAATATAGCTAGCTTTTATATAGCTTTTTAGTATAAATAATAGAGGTATTTTAATAGCTTTTATATTTAGAAGCTATAGTTTTTATTTTAGAAACCTAAAAAGACTTATTAATATTAAATATTTTAGATATTTAAATAATATAGTATAAGTATTATTTCTATACCTTTTTAGTATAAGCTAAGTATATATATATTATAGGTTTTTTATATTAGTTATTTAAAGCTAAGCTTTTTAGAGCTATAGTATTTTACTTATAGTATATTTATTAAATAAAATAAAGTTAATATTAAGTATTTTTATAATATAATTAAGATAAGTAGCTAATATAAGGTTAAAATAGATTATATATATATTAGAAATATAGAAGTAAGCTATTAAAGCTATAATAAGTAATAGATATAAAGTATTATTTATATATACTTATTATATATTAAGCTTCTCTTACTCTTAAAGTAATAATAAGATAAATATATTATTATATAGAGTTAAGCTTAACTTTTATATACCTCTTAACTTTATTAAGTTTTTATTTATCTTTCTCTTTATATATAGCTTATATATATATATTCTACCTCTTTTTTTATAGCTATTTTTATACTTTATAAATAAAGTAGTTCTTAGCTTTTTAAATAAACCTAATATTATTACTTTTTCTATATATATACTTCTTATATCTTTAGTATATACTTAGTATAAGTTAACTTTATTTATAAGTAAACTTCTTCTCTATCTAAGTATATATTAGATCTATAACTAATTTAAAGTTAACTTATTTTAAGTAATAAGTATAATATTTAATAATAAGGATAAAATAGCTATCCTCTTATAGAAAGCTTATTTTTTATAATTTCTAGCTAGAAACTTATATATAGGTTAGTTTATCCCTTATATATACTATATATAAGCTAACTATATATAGGGGTTCTATATAAATTTACTTTTAATAAAGTAAAGCTTATATAAAAGTAATAGATTTATAAAGTTTAATAGCTTCTAAATAGGGATTTCTATATTATCTATATAGTATAAATATATATATATATATTTCAGAAAGTATAATACCTTAAGGTTAATATATTATTTAAGATAGTATAAAGAGATATAAACCTATTTAAGGTTTATAAATAGTAAAAAGGGTTATAATATATATACTATATATATACTATATATATAATATACTTATTAACTTTATACTCTATAAAACTTAAGTTATATATTTATATCTAAATAAATATAAACTTATAAAAAAGCTATACTATTCTCTTTAAGTATACCTTTACTTAAATTAAGGTAATCTCTAGCTTTTTAGTTTAATAGGTATATATATACCTTATAACTTATAATATAATATATATTATTATAATTAATATAGATATAAAGCAGGCTTATAATAAGTATATACCTTATAGATATACTATATATATTAATATTATATTAATATTAAGCTTTAGTAATTATTTATATAAATAAGACTTATTATAAACTACTAAAGAGTATTTATAGTATTTATTTATATTCTATAAAGTATATATTCTCTAAAACTAGTAAAAGAGGTATTTAGACCACCCTACTATTTTAAAGCTATTTAAGCTTTAAGAAGTAAAGGATAAATAAGAATATCTTTAGTATATATAGGATATATATAAGACTTAACTTAATATTAGGTCTTAGTTTACTAAGAAGAGGAAAGGATAGATTATAGCTACTCTTATTTAATCCCTTAATAAAATACTAGCTTAGTAGTAAACCTTTATATAGAAGTATATTAACTTTATAGAGTTAAGCTATATTTAAGATAATTTTACTATTAGTTAAAGTTAGCTTTTACTTTAAGCTATATTAAAGTAAGTATATCCTTTATTAATATACTATATATACTAAGGTAAGCTTAAGACTAAGTATACTATATTTTAAGCTATCTCTTAGTAGTAGCTATACTTAAGTTAAAGCCTATATATATAGAGGGATAACTTAAGGTTAGTATATATTATAAAGAGCTTTTAGTAAATATATTAATATTAGTAATAATATATATAGCGCTATAAAAAACACCTATATATCTCTTATAACTTATTTAACCCTCTAAACTTATTAATACTAAGTTTAATACTTAAGTTAAGTATATAGAATATAATCTTAGTTTAGAAATCACTTAAGTAAAATATATAGTTAGTATATACTCTACTTAAGTATAATATACTTTTTCTATTATTACTACTTACTCTCTACTTATATTAATATTAAGTTAGAGATATATAAGATTTAAATATAGAATAAGTAGATTAAGAGCTTTTTTAACTTAAGTAAAAAGCTTATAAACTTTAAGCTTAAAAGTATAAATATAAACTTTAAGAAGAGATTACTTAACTTAAGTAAGAACTAAGTAATAGAGAGGATTTATAAGATAGTTTATATATATATAGAGTTATAAAGAAATAATAAGAAAAAACTTATATTAATTAAGTATTATAATAAGTTATATATATATAAAGTATATATTAATTATAATATCTTAGCTAAAAAGAGAAGTATTCTACTGCTTTATATATATATATATTATATATATATATAGTATATTAAAAGCTAAAGCTAATAAAAGATCTATAGTTTTTAGAACTATTATATATATTATCTATATATATCCTCTATATATACTTAAGTTTAATCCTCCTTATTATTATTATTTTCTTTAATAAGTTATACTTATTACTCTCTCTACTCTTTAATAAGCTAATCTTAAGATATAGTTAATATATATAATATATATATTAAAATAAAGTAAAATATATATTATAATAAAAGTATAAAGAAGTAGTAGTAATAGCTAAATTATTACTTTTATTTAGTATATAGTTAGTATATATATAAAATAGGTAAAACATAAAATATACTTTTAATAGCTTTCTTATTAATAATATAGGCTTTTAAACTGAAGTTAGCTTCTATTATAAATAAGTATAATATATATAGAGCATACTCTTATTAGGGGTTTACTAAGAAGGAGATAAAAGTATAAGTTTATATATATAAGTAATACTAACCTATATATAGTATTAATATATATAGAGGTGAAGTATAATATAAAATAAAGTTATATTTTATACTTATTATTAAAAAGAGTTCTAATTAAAGTATTAAAATAAGTAGTATACTATAAAATTATTAGTATATTCTCTATATATATAGAGCTTATTCTTAATTCCTCTATTATTATCTTATAATTATAGTTTATTAAGTTATATATTATATTAAATAAAAGTAAGTATAATCTATATTTAATATATACCCTCTCTATAACTTAAACTACCTTTAAACTAAAGTTAGTATAAAAGTTTAAAGATAATTCTAAAGAGTAAGTAAGAAGCTTATTAAGATAGAACTTACTCCCTCTTTACTTATAGTATAGAATAGTTACTATAAGCTAAGAGAGTGTAGTTAGTATATATAATATATATAGTAAATATATAGTAAGTATATAGTATCCTCTAGTTATATATATATATAACTTATATAGTAGAAGTATAATTTATAAGTTTTATAGAAAACTAGATTAATATAGCTATATTAGATATTAGTAATATATATATATAGGTAATATAAAGGATAAATTTATATAAAAGCCTCTATTTAGTTAGTAAAATAGCTAATAAAGCTATCTTTAAGGCTATAGCTAGATAATATATTAATATAATATATATAGAAAAGCTAGGGAGTATATATATAAGCTTTTATATAAAAATAGTATTATACTAAATATTAAAGTATATAAAGAGGCGTAAAATATTATATAGAGTTAATATATACTAAGTATATATTAAAAAGTAATATACTTTATACCTATAATAACCTCTAAGCTATTTAAGTTAATATAAGTTAAGTTAATAACTATATAGAGTTAGTATATATATAGTATAAACTAAAAAAAGAAGAATATACTTATATTAAAGTACTATTAATAACTATAGTAGTATTACTATAAAAGTTAAGTTAGAAAGTATTTAGTATATATAGAATATCTTAAATATATAGCTAGCTAAGAGTAAAAAATTATACTATATATATAGCTACTATTAATATTAACTATATATTTAGAATATTATTAGTATATATAGAGAGGTAATAAAATAAATATTAAATTTATATTTAACTATTTAAGTTAGAGAGGTGTTTAGTAAGATTAAGAGCTGCTATTAAATATACTTAATATATACTAAACTTATAGTAAGTAAGTTAAAATATATTAATATTTATAGCTAAAGTAATATTAATAAGGTTAGTTTAAGATATATTAACTTAAATCTATATATATATAAGGTATATTAAAACTTACTATTAAGCTAGAAGTTAGGATTATTATTAATAATAAAGCTTAGAATATATTAGTTTTATAATAGTTTTAATATAAACTTTATATATACTAAGTATACTATAGAAATAGCTAAACTAAAGGTATAGATTAACTATATTATTAATATTTATATTAATAAATTCCTAAATAGATATCTAAAATATTATTAGTATATACTAAATTAATACTAAAAAAGGTACTTTTTATACTTTTACGTTAGTAATAATTATTATAATATACTTAAAGGAGGAAAAAAAAAAAATAAGCTTAAGTAGAAGAGATATAAAATATATACTAAATATAAGCTATATATAGTAAGAGTAAGGATTAAAGCTTTATTTATTTCTAAAGTAATATATAGCTTACGTAAGTGAGGCTTTATACTTAGGTAGCTATATAAGTATAGAAAAAAATTACTATATAAGGAAATATAAAGTGTGTATAACGTGGAGGATCTATTCTTCTAGCACTACTACACCCCCGTAGGTGGATTTTAGACCCCCCTGCGAGCAGCACTCCGGGCCCGACCAAAGGGAAGCACAGAGAAGGAAGCAGTGACGCACTGACGCACCGACCACCGCTTGCCTGAGTCCAGGCTCCATTTTCCTCCACCTCCACCTTAACCAGCCACTCCACCGCCCGCCATCACCTCAACTTCTTGCGCATTCTGGCCAGCTTTCCAAAGTCACCTCCAACACCACCAGAAAAAAGACACACGACACAGAGCTTTGCACTGCGTCGCAAATCCCATCATCCTTTGCGAACCTGCTGATTATCAGCACCAACAGCTGTATACCACATTTCAAGCCTATCGCGCCTGCCGCCAGAAGAATATTGCACGATGGCACCCCCTCCGCCCGCCAGCGTCCCTCTCACCCAGAGGCTTTTGCTTCTCGCCCAGACCCTGCAATGTATGTCGATTTCAAACTCCCGTCTGCATGTCTGAGTGCGGCATATGCTAACCGTCTATCTTCAAACAGTTGCTTGGTTTGCCGGGTACGTACAGACCATTCCGTTTGACCTTCGAGCTTCATCCGTATCCCTGCGACCCGAAGAACATGCTGGTCGCGCCTGCGGAGAAGGCCGGGGGGGCAGGGCTGCATCTTTAGCGATGAGAACTTCTTCCTGGGCTCGCCATTTGCTAACAACGCGTTCGCCAGACACCTGACTCTGATCCTGTCCGTTATTCGCTATTCCTTCTCCTACGTTACCTTCAACTACTACAGCAGAGTCGCCCGCTGGAGTTACCGATTGGCCTTCCTCTCGGCCTGCCTTACCTACGGTATTGTCGTCTACAAGACCCTGAGAGCTCGCAGCAAGGCTGGAGCTAAGGCGCCCCAGAGCCCCTTGGCTCTCATCGCCGACGAGAATGTCCAGTACCTTGGTGAGTTTCTTCGTTCGTTCTCTCCGTCTTGTCGCTGCGGCTAACTGGAATCTGCAGTCATGTCCCTGGTCTGGCTCTTCTCTCCCCAGTACCCCCTGGCTATGCTTCCCTACGCCATCTACTCCGTCTTCCACGTCGCCACCTACACGCGCGCCAACGTGATTCCCACCATCACTCCCCCCAAGCCCATCGCCCCGGCTGCTGGCGCTTCTCCCGGCGGAAAGCCCCAGTACGCGCACAACCCCATTGCCGACAAGATTGGCGCTTTCGTCAAGGAGTACTACGACGCGTCCATGTCCGTGGTTTCCTCCCTTGAGATCCTCCTCTGGGTTCGCCTTCTGCTGTCCGCCATCACTTTCCAGCGCCGCTCCTGGATTCTGATTGCCATCTACACTGCCTTCCTGCGTGCCCGCTTCACCCAGAGCTCTCACGTTCAGAACTCGTTCGCCATGTTCGAGTCCCGCGTTGACTCCGCCGTCGGCAACCAGGGTACTCCCCCTGCCGCTCGCCAGGCCTGGGACACTGTCAAGGGAGGCGCCCGCCAGTTCTACGCCTACACCGACCCTAACCGCTACCTCAGCGGTACCGCCGTCCCCAAGAAGACCTCCTAAGAGCTCAAATTGGCAGGCAGAGCGCACACCAGTCCCAACGACTGCCGCATGATGCCCACACATCTTAATTATACGATATCGCATCAGTACGGGCTCGGCCGATGCGATGGGCCAGGCTGCAACTCCAGCCATGATAAGAATGTTTCCTTCCAGGGGAGTATGTAAGAAACGGTTCAGGGGCAAGGATACAAGGTAGCAATGGAAAGGAAAGAAGAGGAGATGTTTTACGGCCGACCATTGTTCAAACGGCTTTCCCGCGACTCATTCTGGCTTTTGGAGTGTCGGCGAGTTTAGGACCTGGACGAACCCCGGGTTGCGCTCTGCATTACACTACGATTTCAGGTTTCCCGTTTCGCTCTTTGGCTCTGGCCATTGTCTACTAGTTTGTTTGCGCAATAAATCAAAACCCGCATGATTAAAGTATTCATTCCACCGTTTGCTTCAAGCTGCGATGGGTGTGGGCGATGATAATGTAACACCGATACAAGGGCTAAGCACATGTCGCCAAGCACCCGGGAAACGAACGCTCTAGACACCTAGCCACACCCAAAGTGGCGTAGCTCGGTCTTTCCCTCCCCTGGTTCACCCCACTATCAATGACGTCGCGCAGCCGTCGCGCACACCGACGTCAAGCCTCGACAAGCTGCACGCGACCAAGGCGCAGGCGCAGCTAAGGAACCACCCGCAAAACGTCAGGAGGCCTTTCGACTTGGATTGCACCTCCCTGGGCCCTTCATTTAATACAGCTGCACTGCAACAACCTTTTTATTCTTGGCGCGCGACCCCGTCCTAAACCTTGCTCCGCTTTCCAATCCAAGTTCCACGTCGCATTCAAGGTTTCGGGTTCTTCTTTTTTTCTTTTCGAGAAATGGCTTCTCTATTGCGACAAATCGTCGCGGGGCCTCGCGCAAGGCACGCCGAGTCCGACTTGGACTTGTGCTATGTCACTTCCAACATTATTGCCACGTAAGTAAACCTCTTCTTCACAATGTTTGCAGGATACCGGAAGCTGATGATGTGCAAATCAGCTCCGGTCCATCAGGGACGTATCCCCAAAGAGCCTACCGAAACCCGCTCGACCGCCTCGTCACCTTCCTCGACGAGAAACACAAGGATAACTGGGCGATATGGGAGTTCCGCGCCGAGGGCACGGGGTACCCCGACGAGGAGGTCTACGGGCGCGTGAGGCATTACCCCTGGCCCGACCACCACCCGCCGCCGTTCCGCCTGATTCCCATGATCATGGCGAGCATGCGCAACTGGCTCAATGGTGGCGACCTCCAGCAGGGCGACGTGGCCGTCAGCAAGTCTGACGGCAAGAAGGTCGAGGGAGGCGATAATCAGAGAGTCGTCGTTGTGCACTGCAAGGCTGGCAAGGGGCGCAGCGGGACTGTTTCTTGCAGCTACCTGATCTCAGAGTGTGGCTGGAAGCCTGAGGAGGCGCTGACGAGGTTCACTGAGCGGAGGATGAGGCCCAAGTTCGGCGCTGGTGTGTCTATCCCAAGTCAGCTGCGCACAATCACCTACGTGGACCGCTGGACTAGAGGAGGCAAAAAGTATGTGGATCGCGCTGTTGAGATTATGGAGATTCATGTCTGGGGTCTGCGTAGCGGCGTCAAGTTTGATGTTGAGGGCTTCGAGGACGAGGGTAAGAAGATCAAGGTGTTCCATACGTTCAAGAAGAGCGAGAGGGTGGTAATTGAGGGTGATGCACCTAGTGGAGGGGGTATCGGGCGTATGATGACCGATTTGGCCAGCGTGGGAGTCAAGCCTACGGAGAAGGCCCCTGCGGAAGCACCTTTGGCGGAGCATGCCAACACAAACCATGCAAAGGATGGTGGAAAGAAGGAGGAGACAAAGGAAGACGGGGTGTCGAGGAGTAAGAGCAAGAAGTTGAGGAACGCCAAGACGACGTCACTTATCAGGGACCCGACGGCGCCTGGACAGCAGAAGAGGAGCGAGACGGAGGCGAATGGCAAGGAAGACACCGAGGAAGGAGAGCCTGGTGGCATGGCTGTCATCCTCAAGCCGAAGGAGGCCATTCACATCCCGAACAGTGATGTCAACATCTCTGTCGAGAGAAGAAACAGGACGTCCGCTAGTATGGGCTTGACCATGGTCACAGCGGTGGCTCACGTCTGGTTCAACGTCTTCTTTGAAGGCAACGGCCCAGAACAAGACGGCAAGCCTGACGCCAGCGGCGTATTCGAGATTGAGTGGGACGCGATGGACGGTATCAAGGGATCCAGTAGAAAGGGATCGCGCGGATTCGACAAGATTGCCGTCGTTTGGCGAGTTGCAGACTCCCACCGCGCCAAGGATGGCGGTGATGAAGTCGGCCCTGCCGAGGGTGATGTCGTCCAGCAGCCTTCTGAGGGGTCACCGGTTCCGCAGATGAAGGCCGCTGATTGGAAGGGCGGCAACAAGGAGGATCCCACAGCCGAGAAGCATCTCGGCCTCAGGACGGAAAGTCCCGAGAGCGCGGACGTGAGCCGGGCGAGCAGTGTCAAGGACGGTGTCGTCAAGGATGGAGATGAGACTGATTCGATGGAGGGTGTGAAGACCAGCGGACCGTATGGAGAAGAAATTGAGGCGGAGGATGTTGATGTCAAGAAGGTTGAGAAGGAGGTGGCGAACGAGAGCCTCAATAAGAAGGTTGTGCCCGGGCCGGAGTTGTTGGATTCTCCTGATACAGCGAGCGGGACGACTGCTGCTGGGAGCACTGAGATCAAGAAGTAGATGCGAGGTGGATGCATGCGTCGGGATAATACCATGATATGTTAGGAGCATGTTGTTTAAGACTTCTTACTTGTATAAATACTTATGTCTATCTACTCAAGCACTTTGGTGTTGAACAGAAACGGTCGCCATCGTAACGGTGGTCTCATACTCAAGGTTCACTATTCGTCGGGCGTTCACATCAGAGACCAATACGATGAAGAGGAAGGTAGAGAGTGTCTCACCACATATTTCCAAGACTTCCTTTCATGTTGTGTAGCGTGAAGATTTTCTCTGACGATACAGGTATTGGCTCCCATGCTAGAGGAGCAAAACAGATGGGTCTTGCTGCCAATCTCAGCTCAGCATCCGCCACGTCAGATGGCAGGGCAGACATGCAGGCTCAACCAATACGAGTCGCCTTAGCACCATCCCATTAAGGGACTTCAGTTTTTCGGAGACTGCTGCCTGGATCGTATTTCAGGCCCTCGTTTCCAGCAGCGAGAACTGGCAACGCTATGGTCTCATCATCTTCCTCTCAAAGCCTAGCTTGACCGCCGTCTATCTCGACTCCCGCTATGGCTGATCCTCTGAGCGTCTTCGGTGGAGTTGCAGCCTCGGTTCAGCTTGTGGAATTTGCGGCAGGAGCTTTTATCAAGACAATCAGACTCGTCAAGCAACTTGAGGAAATTCCGAGGAAGACCGCCTGTCAGTTGGACGATGTCAACAGTTCATCACAGAAAGTTCAGTTCTTTTGCCACCAGCTCAATGACAACCTTTCTCCGCTTATCGGATCCGAGCTTCTGCCTCGCTTGATGGCTTGCGCCAACAAGCTTCAAGACGCTCTGAACGAAGCTCAACATTTGCTCGAACCGTTAGTTTCCGGCCATGTATCTACCAAGGGAAGACCCATCAAACGGCTATACAACGCCGCGGTGTCTGTAGTACAAGAACACGCGATCTCGGAGAGGTTGCGAAGAGTAGAGACTCTGAATCAGCGGATGTTTGAGGAGCTTCTGATTGCGAGCCTTTACATATCGTTCGTGATCCCTATTCAAAAAAGGTATGCTGCTTGAGCTTACATCTTTGCAGCTTTTCTATTCACGGGCTTGTGGGGCAATCGCAAGCAAAAGTCGAATTCGAAATTGCTTTGACTCGCGATGAAATCGTTTCGAGACTTCAGTCCGTGGCGGTACCTAATGACAAGACTTTTGCAATTTCGAACCGTCTGTCTGATCAAATAGGCCGTGTCGCCGCAAACCTGGAAAACTTGGGAGACACAACATCGAGTAGAGACTTCGAAATGCAAGCGAAGCTCGAGATTATAGAGAGATTGATTCGCCAACAAGGAGTTCAGGTCACCGATGGGCTACAACGCGTTAGCGATCAGATATTATTTGCCATGGGCAGAAACATTCTAACCGCAGTTCCACAAATGAACGCCAACGGCCCTGAAAGATTTGCACAAGAGCGGTACCTTGCATCACAGAGGAGCAACATCTTGCCCCTTGTGAACAATTCTGCGACGATGAGAAACAAATTCAGCGTACCGAACCTTTATCAAGATCAGTTTCAGCCCTGCTCATGCCGGCCCAAATCAAAATGCGCAACCTTCAGAAAGGGGAACATCGGGTTTGATGCCCTTAGCCAGTCCTCACATCGCGATGATTGCCCTTCGCGACATTCGGGATGGCGGTTGTGGTATTACTCATTCACTGTCTGCCTGCATCCCTTACTCGACAAGGTTGTCGAATTTACGCTAGGCGCTGCTACAGGGCCAGGGGGATGGATGGTCATGCCTCCTTTGAAAGTAAACAACATTGTCAAAAGATCCGATTCACCTATATTTCAGGCTTTCCAGAGGTTTCCAAAGCTCTGTTTGATCGAATCAGCTTCGCGGAATGGCCACAGAATCTATCGTATACCCCAGGGGTCGGGCCAAACACGATTTCGAGCCGGCTGGGAAGACGCTCGGTATGTTTGGAGTCCAGAGACAGGTCAGCATTTGGACGATATAGAATATCTTTTGCGAAAAGAGACATCATGCGGCAGGTCTTCTGGATCTGACGTTGCAGAAAATGGCTTGACCATCCTATTTGTGAGCCTGTCGATTTTATTCGTTGCTAAGCGTCTGGCACCTAATAGTTATCAACCGCCTTAGGAGTTCTATCACATTCTAGTCTTGTTTGGGAGGCAGTGGAAGAGTTTCGAAGTGCAACTGAGAAAGCTTATCAGAACGATCATTCGATGCGGCGTTGATTCCCAGGCCAAGGCAGTGTGCA